GGCCTGTGGTACATAATTAATAAAGATATTTACAGTGTAGTACTGTCCATTCAGTTTTGCAGCATTTGACTGAGTGTGAGCAGAATAAAGCCAGAGGCTTGCCTCATATTCTGCTCGAGGTTTGCAGACTTTCAGTCATCGTGTTTCTAAACTGTTTGTAGAAAACTCCCCAGAATGAAGGTGAAAAAGCCTAAAATAAAAAATAAAGTTAAAATCCACTCTTACAACCTTAAACATTTACAACATAAAATAACTTAACCTTCTACATAACACACTTAAATGTACAGTTTCTGTCACACACAATATTTAAACATGTTTATTTACTTATAACCACAAATTTGTGCCTCATCAACGGGGCTGCTAAGATAAACTTCCACAAGCTCCGTTACAACACTCCCTCCACCCTCCCCGACTGTCGCCAAACTGCACCAACAACAGGAAGTCGTTCCTTCAAAATAATAGCATCACAACTCCAACAGGAAGTTAATCCCAGCTGATAGTACTGCCAAAATAAGATGCAAGTAAGCAAATAAAAGTATTTATTTACACAGGAGGGACTTTGTTTCCAGGTAATCCAACATGTCTGTACCTCAGGCTGAAAGAAAGTGAGTTAAATTATAAATATGAGGACATAAACACATTCAAAATGGAAACTTGGAGATTAACCCAAGCAGGAGGTGTGTGACCCTCAGACAGAGGGTCTCAGCTCAGCCTGAGGACAAATAACCCACCATCACAAACTCAGGGAGCAGAAATGCCCTTCAACGCCACTGATGAGGCGTGAGCTGCGAGAAAACGCTCCCAATAATGGACTAACAGAAAAATGACCGAAGAGGAATTTGAGAGGAATGTGGTGATGATGCCCTTTAGTGTGACTGCTCTGTGTCAAATGCTTCTCATTGTATTCAAGCCTGTGAACGTGGCAGCATGAACGTTCGCCTTCAGCGAGCACGCCACTGAGCACAGCACAGAAGTTGCTTTTTATGGCCTAATATGCAAATGAGCTTTTCCACCTGTAATCACTCCTTATTTTGTCCTCTAACAAAACAAATAAATCACACTGTTGAGTTATCAGAGCACCCACAGCTAGACGGGCTACTTACACCTTACTTCACATTTGAACTGGCATCATTGAGTCTCCAGAGATGACCCACTTTGACCACTTTGCCTCCTCCGGTCACCTGCTCAGTGCGGCTATATTGGTACACACAATTTGCTGCATTGTCCTGGTAACTAAATCTTCAGTGTTTGTTTAAATAAAGCATCGCGTGACCTAAGCTAAGCTGGGCAGTCCTTAATTAGTATACATAACTGGACAGATCTCAGCCAAACAGGTAAAACAATAGTAAGTTATACCATTTTAAACTTGTTTATAGTTTACAGTTAGGTTAAGTTATTCAATGCAACTGTGTGTATTATTGTAGGGTCTACCTTGCAAAGTAAAGCACCTTGAGGCGACTGTTGTTGTCATTTGGTGCTGTATAAATAAAACTGAGGGAAAAATGCTCCAGCTGCGGTCAGCGTTAGCCGGGTGGGCCACGGCATTTATAGGCTGTGAGAAATGCTCCCCACACGGGCTGCTTCTTGTTGTGTGCCAAATATGAGAAAGGTATCTGAAGATATCTGAGTCTGTGTCCCGCTGTCCTGAGTGTCTGTTGGTCTCTGGCTGCTCCAGTCTGCATGCCAAATGGGTAAGATTAACTCCAAGTTGCTCTGCGGTGCTTCCACTGGAGTGAACGTCTGATAGAAAGCACGTCAGCAGACAAAGCATAGAACAAAGTGCTCGTGTGATTAGGTGGTGAATGAGGCCAGCTGTATAAAGTGTGTTAGGTGCTCAGGTAGAGAAGAACAAGTCCATTTACCATCTTTGACTCTTTAGATTGTTTCACTATTTTGCTGATGGTCCAACTGGTGAACGACGCAACAGGAGCGAATTCAAACAAAGATAATACTTAGAGTACGATGGTACCAATGTTGTGATTCCATCACAATGATCAGTAGCGCTCGTCACAGCGAGCCATGTTTTAGATAAACACTTTTGGCTGCATGTGTCAAACACCAGCTTGAAAAGCTCGATAAGCAAACGTCAGTAAGTAATCAGAGAACAGAGACACGTGCCCTCCCCAAGAAACAACGAAAGCCAGAATATATGCACGAGTTCTTTTCTTTCCTGTCATGTGAAAAACATGAATGTATTTTACAACTCAAGCACCATCACACACTCGTGTCTCTGTACTACCTCTGAATGTGTCCTGATCTATTTAAAATGCTCTGGCTGCATCTGCAGTTATCCAACTGTGCAAGCATGTAATGCTTAACACATGCAACTGCAACATGTGCATGCATTAATACACTGAAGATGTGTTTGGCTACACTCTGCATGCATGTATACATACAAATGAGCACCAGGTTTGGTCTATTTATAGAATGGCTATATTAGCTCACTGCATGTGTCAGCTGCTGCTTTCAAAATATCCACAGATAGCACCAGCAGCTCCAGTAAAGCTGCACCAGCAGCTCCAGTAAAGCTGCACCAGCAGCTCCAGTAAAGCTGCACCAGCAGCTCCAGTAAAAGTCAGTGTGAAAATAGGTGGAAGAAAGTCAAAGTGTATCAGAGAGCTGCCAGACAGTCACACCAAGAAACTAACATGTGTGCAAAAAGCTCACAGGTTGCTGAAGTTGGTCATAAACCTGCACACATACACAACAGACACACAGCACACCAACAAGTCGAGCCTGTTAAGCAGTGGAGCAGCGTCTGAGTCACCCTTGCTTGTCAAACTTGTGCCTCTCTAACAGTACAGACTTGTTCTTGGGTAAATCCCTTCACTGGAGAGTGTTTATGAGACAGAGGCGAGGAGCTGTTCAGTCACATCAGTTTTCTACATGTGGGTAATGATGTGTGTGCACATTACAGGGCCGCTAAACAGAAGGATTTGGGAATTCCTCCAAAGGGGCAGAAAGTCCAAGAGGTGGGAAGAGGGGAGGGAATCTCAGAGCTTACCAAGCAGCCCCCCACTGCCCAAGACAAGCCACCCAACCGTCTCCATCCCTCTCTGCATCCATCAGTGTGTTCCTATCTATGTTTTTTCCACGCCACACATTCCAACTCACTTGATGAAGCAGCGAGCTCCCTCAAACGTATATCCTTCCTCCCATCCTGTTGGTAAATCTGTGAGCAGTGGGAGGGAAAGAGAAACAACACAAGACAGCAGGAACATGAGGATCGGTGCACAGAGACAGCGAATCAAACAGCAACACTTTTTCTAGCATATCTCGTTTGGATTGCGCCCTTTTTAATCAATCCCGCCCCCTCCCTCCTGCAGAATTTATCATTTTGTGTGCGTCTGCCTGCTCAGTATCACGCTGGTGGAATACACCATTGATGTGCATGCGCCCAATAAAAACCTTCTCCCCACGGCAGATGTGCAAAATCGTCTCTGAGCTGACGCACGAGCCGCACCGCATTGTTCTGTAATCAGCCGCGGTGACTGGAAACACTGGGTTTCTGCAGCAAAGCGGGGCATGTATCAAATGTCACTGCAGGGAATCCGCTTGGAAATCGGCAAAAGCCTACGTGACATAACTTTTAAAAAGTGTGTCGCAAAGTGTCCAGGTGGAGTAAGTGGGGTGGGGATGGCGGGGGGACGCCGTGCGCAGCGGTCCGACAGCGGAGAGGGGCGACTGTTGCTTTGCTGCAGAGAAGAGATCTACCCCCGTCGTCTTTCACGCTCTCCCCGCAACTTGTCGCCCCTTTTTTCCCACCGTGACGCGCACATAACCTTTCCTAGGCGATGCGTGCGTGCGTGCGTGCGTGCACGGATTTTCGCAGGAATGTAGAAAAAGCACATCCTGTATTACCTGGGGTTTTTCTGTGCCCCGTGATGACAGCTTCTCCTGTGACTGGATGCAACCAGGTTGTACTCTTTGCTTCTTCGCTGTTGGTGAAAGAAAACGGGGGAGGGAGAGGTGAACAGAGAACCCGAAAAAAACCCAAACAAGAATGCGTCGGAGAAAAAAGCAGAAGGTATCCACAAATCCGTGTATCCGCGTCATATTTACTTAATGAAGAATATGCGTCCATCCCGAGTCACCCCATAACTCCAAGAAGAGGGAAGGCAGGAGAGCCAGTCCGGCTGAGGATCCGCCGCCATGTCTAGTTTGGAGCTTCGCTTTACTACGGGTATGGGCTGGAGTGCGCGGCTCCGTGCCAAGCGCGCGCGCACTCCATCATGTGCGCGCCTCAAGGAAATGCGCGAACGCGCAGAAAAGATAAAGATGCAAGCAACGATTTGTCACCAGCCTG